TGTTTGAACTACAAAATCATATTTTTTCTTCCAGACTTTAATTTCTCAAATTTTGTAAAAAAAAATATATATATATAGCTGTTATGACACACTTGTCCAAAAAATATTCCATTTGGCTTTCACATTATAACTGGCTTTTCAAGCTTTTCAAGTACTTAATAAAATAAATAACAGGACAAACAAAACAAAAAATAACTTGGTGTCCTACCTCCTGAGTTCTCTTGAAGTGCATAATGAAAACAACACTTTAGGTGCAGTAGCTTTGACTACTTTAAATGTTCAAACAATGTAAACTGAACCTGAGCTTACAAGCTTAAAAGTGCAATACCTGAAAAGAAAAAAATTGCAACAAGTGTAACATTCTTTTAAAATCAACAGGTAGAAAATAAAAGTTAACATGGCACAGATTAGTGCAAACCTAATGAAGTTACTTGTTCATTAGTGGCAGGTTTTTCTTGATGAACAAAAGCTTTTCTGCTTTGTCACCAGACATGCGACTTCTTTTCTCATCCACTACATGTCCGGCCAAGCTAAATAGACGTTCACTTTCAATGCTAGTCCATGGAGCTGAGAGATAGACTTGGGCAAGAAGAGCAAGATGAGGGAAACGATTTTTATTGAGCTTCCAGTAGGCCAATGGGTCCTGGCTTCTGTCGATGGGAACCTCAGATAGGTAGCTCTGAACCTGCAGGGCAGACTGGTTTGCCAGTTGTTGCTCCTTCTCAGTGTTCTCCTTCAGAATTTCATTGTGCACTTCAAACAGTAAACTACACCTTTTACCTGACGGTGCATCACTGTCACCAGTCTCTAATCCAGTGGATGTTCCTGCCACGGGTTTCTCATCAACAGCTGTGCATCTGGGTTGCAACTTTTCAAGTTTGGCCAAAAGGAGCAGTTTCACCTCATCCTTCACCTCTGCTGAGAAGTAGCGGTTCTTGTATCTAGTTAATAAGCATAAACAAAACAAGATGGATCAATTATTGTATATGTTGTATATACACAAGCAATATTCATGACTACTATAAATCTGTTTTTTAAAAGATCCTTTTGTATTTGATTTAGAAATAATCGCAGGATAGCAGTGACCTGGCTAAAAAAAACTCACCTAGGATCAAGAACTGTGGCCAAGCTGTACAGGGGCTCCTGTTCGATGTTGTTGAATCTCCTCACAACAGCCTCCAGCAGTGTAGCTTTAGCTGTGCCCACACCCCGGTCTGTGCTGGCTGGCTTCTCCAAAAGCCGTTTGAGTGCGGTGATGGCTGGGATAACGTCTGCTGCTGTAGCTGTTGATGAGCTTATTTCCTTTGTGAGTTCCTCAAAAGGTGCGAGGATGGTAAGCACATTGTCCATTAGTTCCCACTGGTGTGCGGTGAGTGTGGCTGGTAAGTCATTCTCAGCTGCATACACGCAAATAGCGCGTCTCTGCTCCAACAGCGACTGCAACATGTAGACCGTGCTGTTCCACCTTGTTGAAACATCCTGTTGTAGTCGTTTTTTTGGCTGATTGAGCTGTGCCTGTATATCGTAGAGTCGGGAATAGGCAAGCGGTGAATGTTTAAAATGACCGATAAGTTTCCTTCCCGTTGCTACGACATCTGCAATACTACGCTGGGCTAATTGCCCCTCATTTACAACGAGTTGCAGCGTGTGTGCCAAGCATGGCAAACTTTTTAAGTTGGCATCATCCAGTGCTTTGGCCATGTTACGAGCATTGTCCCGTAAAACAACGTGGACTCTCTCGTGGTTAATTTCCCAGTGATCCAACATCGCCTGAAACTCTGTCGCTAAGTTAGCAGCAGTGTGAGACCCCGGCATTTCTTTGCAATGTAAAAGAACTTGAGGCGTTCGAATTGCTCATCTATCCACTGTGCTGTAAGACTCAACATGGACATCAAACTTACATCAGAAGTCCAGATGTCGGTTGTGAAGCTGAGGGTCTTTGCACTTGCTTCCAGCAGGTTACGAGTGTGTTTTGAAACTTCGGCGAACAACTCCGGTAATGCAGTTTCCGAAAAGTATCTCCGGCTCGGCATGTTATATCGTGGGCTAAGGTGCTGCATCAGGTTTCTGAAACCTTGGTCTTCAACGACTGAAAACGGCTGGTCATCCAACGCCATGAACTCCATAAGTTTTCTCGTTGTAGCTTTGCTCTTTTCGTTGTTCATTAGAGTTAACAGCGAGCTACTGACTGGTTGCGTGCTGCTGCTAGCTTTAGCTTTAGCTTGATCGGTGGCTTCAAAAGCTGCA